TCCTTGATTTTGTCCTTGGCCCACAGAGACCCTCTTCCTTTGGGGAAGGCTCTCAGTAGGACATCATGATGCTCCCTGAACACCATCCTTCACCTCAGGAGGAGGTAGGGTAGGCCTGTGACCAAAGTTGGTTCTGTTAGCTTCAGGTTCTGTTAGCTTCAGGCATGAACAAAACTGAAGAATGCAAAAAAATAATTTATAAGACAACCCTGGAAATTCCATTTTTGTCAGGAATGTCACTAAAATATGCTTTCACAAAATCATTGTTGTGGAGGAAAGACAAAGCACCCACATTGTGCTATATATTTTATATACCACATTAAAAGAAGTCACAGGGCATTGCGTATTGTGATCTTAGAATTACATTTGCAGTCTTCGCTTACAACATGCACATTCTGAAATACTTTAATATATTTTATACACTTGTCCAACCACACAGCAGTGAGTTTTCATCATTTTAAGTATAATTAAGATCACAGTATATTGTTCTGATATAGTTTTCATTGCATCCTCAGGGCTGTGAAGGATGAAGATTCCTAAATATAGTGAAGATTCCTAAAATTATGGCAGAACTATTTTTAAGTGTGAAAAAAAGCCCTTAATATCCTTTAATATCTTTATTATTTATTAATAGTTTAGAATATCTTTATTACTTATTAGTAGTTTGGGCCTGCCAAAAATCCAGCTGTTACTATAGAAACCACATTGGCCTAGATCTGATGTCATCATCCAAGAAAAGTTAAAATTCAACCATTCTATTATAACTTACTAATACAAATAAATATCGAATGATCTAATTATTGGTTCCCCAATGCTTTACTTTCAGTAGTTAAAAAATTAATTAAACATGTTTTATCAAGAATGAAATATCAGAGTGGAGGGTGAGGAGACTAGCCAAAAATTAGTTAAAAAAAAAGCAATGAAGCAAATGACTTTTGAAAATATACCCTAGTGACAAAAAACTATCTTACTGATGTTTAAAAGAGCTAAGTACAAGTAGCTAAATAAGTCCTACGCACCCCTTCCTAATAACTGAAGAGGCTCGTTGTTACGTTCAAAGAGCAAAACTCAGAGGGTGTCATCATAAATGAACTTTATTTTCCTCTACAACTCTCCTTTTAATCTTGCAGTAAAACATATTTATTTGTCTCAGCCCATAAATGATATTCAGGCGAGGTTTCATAACTTAGATAATAAAAAGTCCCACATTCACTTCTCATCTCAAAAGAGTTTCTGTTTAGTTATTAAAATGGCCAGTCCAGTGTGATAATAAACAACTTTTGAATTTTTATTAAGTTGAAAGCATCTATCTCCCTTTACAGAGAGCCTGATAAAAGTAGGAGTCTGCACTCTGGCTGGAGGAGGACTTAATGACTTTTTCCTCTGCCAACAATATCTCTGCAAGTAACTGCCTCTTAGGTCAGGAAGGAGGGAGGGAGAGAGAAAAGACAATAGAACATTTTTTTTTTAATTGACACTGGTGAATTACAATAGTAGCAATGCTCCAGAGGGCTTCCAGGGATCAAAGTTGATATTCAGTCTTTGGGCACTTTCTTGAATTCTATGGAGATGCCCCCCGCACCCCCCCCTTCCCTCATCCTCCAACCCTCAAAGAAGAGACATCCTCTCCGATATGTTTCCTCCATAATCCCTGGGCATCTAGGTACACTTCCAGCTCTCTCTGCTAAGATCTTCTTAACCTTCTAGTAGCGCTTCTAGGAAGATCTAAGAAAAGTCCAGCCTTGTTTTCTCTATAGTGTGACCGAGGTCTGGTCCACAGAAATCATTGTGCCTATGACACAATGATTTATGTCGGTTTTTGTTTTGTTTTGTTTTTAGCTCTTTCATAGGAAGCTCCAGGCTTTTAACTATTAAATAGCTCAGATATGGTGTCTAACAAGATGCAGGGAATATATTGAGCTCTCTTATAGAGAAAGATCAGGACATTGGGGAAGGTACTCACAGTATAATAATCTCTGGGAAGATTTTTTCTTTCTTTCTTTTTTTTAAAAAAAATGTAAATGGAAAAATGACACTGTTTTCAGATTTCTGCATCCCAGTAAGAAAGTTAAATTTCTGATACTTATTTTTGGTAGCTAGAACTCATATTCCTGTGGAATTTCTAATGCACCTCATTGAAAGTCTCTGATATGCAGAGAGTAAATGCTAGATTTTATAGAACTCTTATATCATATTTTATTATGCTCTAATTTGTATTGAGAAACAGTGGATTATATTTTTTTCAAACTGTAAATTATATGTTAAATATCTCTTTTCATACCACAGTGCCCCCTCTAGAGAAGCTGCTATCCCATTTAAAGGGAGAATGCCCCCTCTTACCACATCCGGCCAATAGGAATCAAAGACATACACATTTCTTTGTGAAGGTAGTGTTGCGGGTTGATTGGTGTCATAGTAAACAAGCCAATAAGACGGGGCAGCGGCAATCTCTACTCCTCTCAGGCATGTGAAGACACACTCTCATTATAAGGGAATGAGCTCAGACCATGTACTAAAGATTTATGTAGCCACCTACTCTGTGCACTAACATATATGTCCAAAGCATTTGGAATAAATTGCTTCTAATATGACACCTTTACCTCTAGGTATGAATTCTTACAATGACTCAGATTACAAATCACAGCTACCAACTAATGGACTCATAACATCATTGACAACCATCATTTTTTTGTGTGTGTTTCATGTTGCTTCTTGCTGGAGCTTGCTGTGACAAGTTAGATCCCATCTGTCTGCTCAGTAACAAGCAAAATGACAAACATAACGCAGGAAACATTGTTCAGATATTCAAAATTGTTTTCTACCATTTGGTTTTACAAATATGTTAACATTTAGAGATGGTAAATAAATGAAAGAGGAATAGGACCTTGAAATTGTGATGATCTGTGAGGACTGTATGATGACAGCAACATTTTTAAAAGGACATTTGTTCACATTTATGATTGTTATACATTTTATATTTAAGTCACTTACCTCTCTCCAAAAGGATTCAATGATCTGAAATAAATTAGCTGTCATATTTTATACAAGTAGGAAATAAAGGATCTGCCTCTCTCTTTGGAACTAGGTTTTTATAGGAAAACCTATGACTGGTATTTCATTTCCTAATATAAAAAAATTTAATGAAAAAAAAAATCCAGCCTTCAATGTACATCTTTTTACTAGAGTTACTGAGGTATTGTGTTAGAAAATTTTCTCTATAAGTTAGAGGTGGGTTTGAGTAAATTTTATGTCCTTAGTTATTTCTCATTAGAAGTAGAGCATTGCCCCCCAACCTCCCCTATGACTGCCCATTCCTTTTTCTGTGGTGGTACAGCTGTCATGGCAAGATGCTATAAAATCAACTGGAAATATTTAAGAATTTGATGAAATATCTTAATCAAAAAGAATATGCATTTGACCATTTTGTGTTCCTTCTCAAGCATACATATTTGTCTCTCCCCATTTTTGTATAGAGAGGGTTAAGCATAAACAAAATATACTCAATAAATGCACATTGGATTTAAGAACCAGGTCAGCTGACTGACCAATGCATACTCTATAAATGATGGTATTTGGCTAGGAGGCACTCCTGCTGCCAGTGGAAATAGGGCTCTTCCATAGAGTCACGAGAAAAGCATTTCGGGGACCCACACATGCCAGGATGAAGTATAGTGGTAAGATTTATTGGAGTAGAAATAAAGGATTGTCCCTAGGTGTCCAGTGTCTAATCCATGACCAGGTGGCTCAGCTCCATCCTGCTCTGGAAGAAATCCAGCCTCGTCTTCACCAAGCACAGAAGGGCCAAGTTCCAGAGAGTCTGTGCCATTGGCCCAGCATCGGCAAGGCATCCAAAGCTTTGTAGCTCATTTCAGTCCATGCCAAAGCTTAGTCCAGTTCAGTCTGTGTCCTGGCTCAGCTAGCTTAGTCTCTGTTTCTGGCTGCACTCCTGCTGGCACTGCACTGTGGCACCCAGGCCTTGGAGCCATCCTTGGAGCTCACGCCTGGGCCCGTGCAGCTGCTAAGCCCCACTATGGTTGCTACAGAGAGAAAACATGTGAACAAATGGGTGAGTGCACAAATGAACATGTGTTACCGGGGGGGGGGGGGGGGGGGCTTTGTTAAACTTTGATTATATTAACTCGGGCTTGGAAAAGGTCCAGCCTTCTTTTAAACTGATCAATCTCTTTCCTGATCCTTTGTGGATTTGTGCTGGGTCCCCCCTCTATACAATCCTTTCCTAGATCTTCCAGTGTTCTGCATCTTTATCCTACCTGATCCTTCTTCCAGATTTTCTTAGGCTAGCCTCCACCCCTTTATGTTTCCATTTTGGTTCTTAATGCACATGCCCCAAAGTGTTGCTGTGTCATCTCTTTTCTACTGTGTATGCACCTAGCAAAGGAATTTCTCCCACCCCTCCCCTGGAAATGTTGGCTAATGACCACTGCGAGGCGAGGGAGGGGGAAGGAATGAGGTTCCTTTGGCAGAGGATGTGACAGTCCCCTGGAGAATCTGTGAATGCTGTGGCTTCCTAGTGAAGGAGGCTTAATGTTTGATTCAGCTCCTAGTTGATTAGGCTTAATGTCTGATCCCATTTCCTCCCTTTATTAATTAGCTACCTGTGCTAACACTCCCTCAACCGTCTTACTTTTAAAAAAACTACCTAACTTTGACTCCAAAGCATGTAGGAACTAAAATATTATGCAGTTCTTTATATCTTACACACAAAGGAAAACTTATAAATACTCAGCATCATTGCTGTTATTAATATTCTTTTGTTTTAAAGAGGAAAGTACCAGATCCTCTCATTTCAGAGCAAATAACACAACTGTAAAAGCCGTTGCCAAGCAACCTGCATTCACAGCTCAGATGGGCTGAAATGTTTATATTCATATGTGGATAAAATTGACCCACTCCTCTGAAAAAAATATTTGAGATTTTTCTACTAAGATTTTAAGTTGTAGGTCATAGCACTATTGTTATGTAGAAAGTTCCAAACTGACATACACTGAGTGGCCAGATTATTATGAGCACCCCATCAGTACTTTGTTGAGCCACCTTTTGCCTTCCATACTGTGCGATTCTTCTTGGCATTGACTCCTTGAGATGTTGAAAGGTGATGCGAGGAATCTGACACCATGCCTGATGAATGGCACTGTCAGGTTCTGTGAGATTTGATGCTTGTGGAACCAGCTGCCTGATGGCTCTTTTAAATTCATCCCACAAATGGCAATTGGGTTGAGATCTGGTGATTGTGGGGGCCACCTAAGCAAGATAAAGTCTCCTTCATGCTCTTGAAACCACTCCTGCACAATAAGAGCACCATGACATGGCACATTGTCTTATTGGATGAAGCCATCTCCATTGGGATACGCCATCAACATGATAGGATGAACTTGATCAGCAATGATATTTAGGTTTGTTGTGCTATTCAGATGTTGTTCCACACGAATTAAAGGGCCCAAATTATGCCAGGAAAACATGCTCCAAATTTTAACACTGCCCCACCAGCCTGTACTCATGCATGTGGGGTGCATCCTTTCATGCTGTTTCCACCAAATTCTCACTCTGCCATCTGCATGGTGCAACTGTAAACATGATTCATCTGACCACATGACTTTTTTCCAATGCTCGACTGTCCAATCCTTGTTTCTGTGTGAATTGGAGAAGGTTTATCTTGGAAATGTTAGTCAGCAAAGGTGTTCGAACAGGTCTTCGGCTTCCATATCCCAAACAATGCAGTGTATGGCTAATTTATCTACAAACATCAGGTGGTTATAATAATCTGGCCACTCATTCCTCTTGCCATATTACAGTATAAGTAGATGGTTTAGGGTTTATTTCCCCGTTAGACTGTGAGTTCCTTGAGGATAAGGATTTTGTTCCATTTATCACACAAGAAAGGATCCTACCTAGCATTCTGCAAGTATGTGATAGATTCTTTCAAATCATTTCATACAAGTCTCTGCTTTTTGTAGTAATAGTTTTTACAACAACTTATAAGGGAAAAATAAACTTTTAGATTTTAAAACACAGCATTGTTAATTTATGATTAGCTAAAACTAAAGCACTAAGTTAAAAAATATTAGAATTACATTTTAGACTTAGAAGAAATTTTATGGAGTATATATTCCAGTGGTCTCAACCTTAGTTCTTTTTTTTTTTAAAAAAAATATTTTATTGATTTTTCACAGAGAGGAAGAGAGAGGGATAGTTAGAAACATCGATGAGAGAGAATCATCGATCAGCTGCCTCTTGCACACCCGCTACTGGGGATGTGCCCGCAACCAAGGTACATGCCCTTGACTGGAATCGAACCCGGGACCTTTCAGTCCGCAGGCCGGCGCTCTATCCACTGAGCCAAACCGGTCCCGGCTCAACCTTAGTTCTTTTTTGAATTACACAAGAAGCTTATAAATTTAACCGGTCTAGGATGATTTCTTAAATTGGGATTTATATTTTTTAAGTTTCCGAGGTGATTCAACTGTAGGATTGAGAACCACTAATATAGTCCAACAGTCTCATTTTATGGTGGAGTAATCAGCCCCAGAGGAGTGAACAGTGTGATGCTGTGAAAAGAACACAGTCTCTGAAGTCACCTGTCAGGCTGCCTGCCAACGTCTGGTTTAGTTCCTCATTGTACAGTACAGATGATCATCTCTACTTGTGCTTCTGAGGAGATTGAATGACTGAGGTGCAGTGAAGTTAAAACCGTGTTTGGTGGAAGCCAGGCAAAGACAGACATTTCTCAACAATTTTATCCACGTCCCAACCATAGTGTCAATAGAAGCTTCATCTGCTGACTTCCAGACTTTTCATATCATGGAAAGCAGCACAGGGTGCCACCAGCTCTGCTGTTTATACTGGAAAGGAGGAAGCATGAACATATCTGCCAGGATCTTTACAAGAAACACAAGAGGCACACACACACAAAAAAAGGTTAAATGAAGATAATTTAATGAAAGGTGTGGCAAAGTTAAAGGAACCACCAAGGGACCATGAAGCAAGGTCCGGCCTCCTAGATCAAGCGAGTGTCTATTGAAGCAAGGTACCTGTGGCTGTGGGAAGTAGGCCCCCTGACAGAAGCTGCATCCCAGTGAAAGGAACAGAGCTGGTGGTCAAACTGCAGCCTGCCAGGAAGGAGCCTGGAATGCATCTCTCTGTCCCCGTACTCTAATTTTCTTCTGACGATCAGATTGGCTAGGACAGTGGACAAGGAAGCCCAGTTGAATCAATTCATAAAAGTCAGTCTCCTGGGGCTCAGACCAGGCGAAGAAGATTGAAAGGCTCTGGAAGAGAAATCAGAACACAACCAGGCAATTACTGGGCTTCCACCCTGTGCTGGGTACTTGATGTGCGTGGTGTCTTTATAGCTTGTGATGCTTTGGGGCTACTCCAAATGAACATAAATTGCCCCAAATTACTGACATTGTCTGTGGCACAGCATTCATGGCCAAGAATCCACGTATATACTTTCTCATTTTGTTCTGAAACAAACACCACAGGCAGTGAAACCTGAACTTGTCTGCCAAATGTGGGTTCAATGCACAGGGGGCACAGCTTCCACTCGCAAATGGCTGTTTTGCTGGAGTCCATTCATCAGGAAAACCAGCGTGCAAGGCCTGCTAGCTAGAGACACAAAATAACCAAAATCCACGCCTGCCCTCAGCAGCTGCCTGTTTCTCCTGAGCCCTTGGTTCACCTCTTTGTCTTGTAATTTATCCACCTAAAAAATGATAAGAGCACCTACTTCTCATCATAAGATTGAGATGTTTGAAGGAAATGAGAACCATCCTTCTGAAAGAAAGCTGCTCTCTACTTAAATGCAAAGTTGAAGGTGGGAGACATTCTCTCAGCAAAATTTTCTTCAACAAACAGAACAAACATGCAAGACATCTGACATTTTCTTTTAATAAACCTTTGTTTGAGAATTACCTGGAGAATCAGAGAAAAATAAGGCATCCTCTGCCTTTGAGGAGTTCATTGTCTTGTGGGAAGAATCAGAAATGAAACATTTCTTAAAGGGGAAAAAATAATAGATTAGATAAAGGTCTTGGTACCTCTTTACAATCTTGTATGTATGTATTAATCTAGTAACAGCTATCTATCTATCTATCTATCTGTCTGTCTGTCTATCTACTACTTACCTATAGATCTATTAAACTAAAAAGCTATTAAAATCTTAGGCTTATGAAAAAGATTATAAGCTATGTCTATTATCATTTATTTTATTTTTTATTAAATTTATTGGGTGACATTAGTTAATAAGACTATGTAGGTTTCATGTGCATGTCTATGACACATAATCTGCATATTGCAAATCATCTTATCATCATATATTTGACCCCCTTTACCCTTTACTATGCCACCCTTACCCTGTTCCCCTCTGGTAACCATGATACTGCTAGCTGTGTCTGTGATTTTTTGTTTGTTTTTCTTGGTTATTTGTTACTTTCTTATATCCCACATAAGAATGAAATCGTATGGCTCTTGAATTTTTCTGTCTGACTTATTTGCTTAATGTGATATTCTCAAGGTCCAGCCATGTTGTCCTAAATGGCAATATTTCACCTTTTCTTATGGCTGAGTAGTATTCCATTATAAATATGTATCACATCTTCTTTAACAGATCATCTATCAAAGGATACTTTGGTTGTTTCTATGTCTTGGCCACCATGAATAATACTGTGATGAACATAGGGATGAATATATTTTTGCAAATAAATGTTTTTAAAATTTTCAATAGATACCCAGAAGAAAGGTTGCTGGGTCATATGGCAACTCTATCATTCCTTTGTGGAAGATCCATATTATTTTCCTTAGTAGCTGAACAAGTTTACATTCCCACCAGCAGTGAATGAGGGTTTCTTTTTCTCCACTACCTCTCCAACACTTGTTATTACTTGTCTGTTGATAATACCAATTCTAACAAGTGTGAGGTGGAATCTCATTGTAATTTTTATTTGCATTTCCCTAATAGCTAGTGAATTTGAGCATCTTTTCATATATCTGTTTACCATTTGTATATCTTCTTGGGAGAAATGTCTGCCAGGTTCTCTGCTCATTTTTAATTGGATTGTTTGTTTGTTTGGTGTTGTATGAGTTCTTTATATATTTTAGCTATTAATCCCTTTTTGGAGCTGTTGTTTGAAAGTATCTTCTCCCATTTGGTTGGTTGCCTTTTTGTTTTGTGGCAGTTTATTTTGCTGTGTAGAAAGCCTTTTAATTTTATATAGTCCCATTTATTTATTTTTGCCTTTGCTTTCCTTGCCTTTAGGGTCAAGTTCATAAACTCTTCTCTAAGATCAAGGCCCATAAGTTTAGTACTTATGTTTTCTTCAATGCAATGTATTGTTTCATATCTTATATTTAGGTCTTTTCCCCTAAGGATCTTTCATTGGATGCTGGTGTTAATTATTAAGAAGGATGCAGATCTTGTGTTCTGGTAAAGCACTAGGTCTCCATCCAAGAATGGTAGCTTAATAAAGGCTCCCTTCTTTTCTTCCTCTCTTCCCTGCTCCATTTCTATGTTCACTTTGCCCCTTTCTTTCCCATAAGGTGACCCACAGCAGGGTAGCATCTTCCATTCTAATAATGCCCTGGTGGTGATAAAAACTGAACAATCATGAACAATAAGATTTGCAAAGATATGAAAAAAAGCTGTATAAATTACCTCCAGGATAGGGAAATTGCATTGGCAATAATTATAATAGAGTCAGGCAGATGTACAAAGTACTTAATGCATTTATTTAAATTTGATTTAGACATTGAAGACTTTTAAATGCACATTTACTATATTTCACAGGTATTTTGTTGTTACTTAGAATTTTCTATATACATAGTCAACATTATGATTGAGCTTTTATGCTGCTGTAAGCAGTGTTCTCAGCATTTTACTTATTATCCCATTTAATTGACATCGTAACTTAGACAGTAGGTTGTTAGCCTCTTTTTACAGAGGAGGAAACTGAGTACTAGAGAGGTTAAATAACTTGACCAACATTAATTACATCGTTTGTGGTGGAGCCAGAACTGGACCGACTTGTTCCGGAGCTCACTGTATAGACCTTGCCTACCCTTTCTCGGCAGGTACACTGGCAATGCGTTATGTAGCTGGTAAAGTTAAGAAACATATTCCTGGAAATACTTTAATAAATGAGAACTAAGAGTTATGTAAAGATGAAGAAAAGCATAAC